CAGTTAACCCATTCATGTTTAAGGGACTATGCTTGGAGGCCCTTTCTTCTGTCTACAACTCCCAGAAATCCCCAGCCAGCCATGCTGAACATTTTTCCACATAACCATGTGTAGGTTGCACCCTTAGCCTTGCATTTCTAACATGTTAATGTTGATTTCAGTATGACATTGATTAGGGACCTGCATGCAAGGTGGGAAACAAAAGAACTGGAATTTGTGTTGCTGTTAATCAGACACCCAGACAGTTAAAAACAAGTGCAGCAGCGGCAATCTGTTTGGTGCTAAAGTTGTTAGGAAGAGTAAAGCAAAATAAAAACCTTCGACATTTGTGCATAATGAACATCATCAAGCAGGATATAAAAAGTAACTTGTTTTGCTCAAAAGCTATATTCTGGTCCAGGCTTTACTAAGAAACATACCATCTTTCTCATACATGCACTGATGCTAAACAGTACACTGAGTGGCAAGCGCTCCTGATTAGCTCAGAGTTTTATTCATTTATGTGATGCCCCTGTGCTATTTATTATTTTAGGGCGCAATCATGAGGCCACCGGGTGCTCTCTAGACGGCCACAGTGAAGGTTGCTGCGCCAGCACCCTCCTTCCTCCTCAGTGGGTCTTTCAGTGCCAGCCGCAGCTCCAAGGTCACGAGATTGAACACAGAGCAGGTGCCGAGGGGAGGCCAGGAGAGGGTTTGGGGCAGGAGCAATGGGCACTGCTAGGACAAGATGAACCCCCATGGCACCTGAGCTTTTCCTCCTCACAGGCAGGTGCAACACTCTTAGGGGGCTGGAGGGCAGAAGCAGTTCTGAGGCAAGCCTTGCCTCCACGCTCCCTCTGCCTGCAGGTTCAGAAGGTCACAGGCAACTGCACTGGATGGTGCCATTAGGCACTCAGTAAGGGAACTGATAAGCAGCCCTGTCACAGAGGTGCTACTAATTAGTGGAGGAGAGCAATGCTATTCAAAACAGGCTCAAAGCAAATGGCTCAACTCATTCCTTTCCAAAAGGACCATCCCATCGGATATAGAAACGGAAGAAGGGCTGTAGCCCAATGCTTTTGCATGCAGATCTGACCTCCTCCTGCATCTCCTGGAAGGTCTGAAAAGGAATCAGCTTCCCTACAAGGGCGCGAATTCCCCAGCCAGGCTGACAGCAGAATGAGTCTCTGTGAAACAAAAGAGGAGCTGGTAGAGAAAAGAGCCGTCAGCAGATCTTAAAGCAACCTTAAAAGAACTTTAAAAGCCTGAACAAATAAACAGGCTGTTGCTAACACCTAAAACAGAGAAACCACCAAATGACAGCAGCTGGAGGATAGGCGATAAAGCTGATAGAAAGGGGATATCTCTCTGGACACCCCCAGAGGACCAGGCTAGGACCCTGGGGGGCTGAATGAAGCCCCTGGGCCTAAAGCTCCCTGCCCGATGTTAAAAGAAAGCAACCAGAGCTTCAGCAATGGGGCAGTATAGAAATGAAATTCATAACAATAACGACAATAAGAGGAATAAGGGTAACAAAGCTGGTTTGAGGTAAGCCTCCCCATGGAGAATAGTCCACAGTCAAGGAGCCATAGGGCAAAATGCTCCATCTCTCTTGGGAGAACTGAGAACACTGAGTAGAACCACGTTCTCTAAATTTTCAGCAGGCACAATTAACAATATGGGGGAGTGCTATGGGCATTCTCACAAAATGGCTGCCCTGGGCCTACCTACTGATAAAATGGCAGCCACTATAAGCATGCCCAGTCGCTTCCCAGAAGGTAAATCAGTGAGACTAAGAGAAATGGAACTTGCCCAAGAAGCTTAAGTACAAAGCAGAGGTGGGGCCCACCCTTTGGAACCCAAATAAAGATGGTGCTGGAGGACTGTGCTAGGGGGCTGGAGGGTAAACATTAGGTGGGCTAGGGAGTTTGGCAGGTGCCAAGGGCATTTCCGTGAGCACACTGGTACCCATGGGCACCACATTGGAAATCTCAGGAATAGGGCACCAGTAACATACCTAAGAGCAAGGGCAGGCTGGGATCTTACACATGCGCAGCACTGGCATGAGTCCCCAGATGCTGCAGCTAACTGCATACTCCCTTTTTTCTTCTTCCCATTTTTCCACGCTACTCTCTTGGCTCAGAACCAGGAATAAGCTAAGGTAGTTAACAATGTCTTCCCTTTACATCAGGGGTCTCAAACTCAACTTCCCTGGGGGCCGCTGGAAGGAGAGTCTGGGTGAGGCTGGGCCGCATCAAGTATTCCACCCCCGCGGTGGTGGTGGGCCGCTCATCCCACGGCTGGCCCGGGTGCCGCCGGCGCTTTGAAGGCCGCAGGGCCCCTCCCCCGTGCCCCGCCCGTCCCGGCAACTGGCCCGCGGGCCGCGAGTTTGAGACCCCTGCTTTACATGTTCCCAAATAGCCACCTGCTTTTTAAGGTAGGTGTTCTAACCAAACAGCTCAGTTTCATTCTTTTTCTGCATTGTTCTACAATGAACCCACGTATAACAAAAATAGCAGTGTTTTCTTCTGAAAATCAAGTGTCTATATAGGTTGTTTGACTTTGTAGTGGGTGGGACAGATGTAGTCCACTTTCCTGCATTATGATAAATTGCTGGAGGACAACAGATTCTTTGCCACTGCCTTATATAGATTTCTTGATATTCTACCGGCTACATTTGGATGATCCACTTATGTGGCAGGTACAAGCCTAAGCTCTCCTTGCTTTTGCAGCTTGCCTCCCTCCTTGATTTTACATTTGCTGGGGCAGTTCTGAGGAGAAGACTGAAAGCTTTCACTTCCATTTTTGTTTAACCAGTTTAGTGTTATGTCCAAACCAAAATTGTGTTTAATCTTAATTATGGGTCATTAAAAAGAGCTTCATAAATCATGGTTTGACATTGGCTTGTTACGAACAAGACACATTTAAGATCTGCCCCAACTTGTCAGGCTGAGACGTGCTAAATGCAGTTAATTAAAAACAGAAGTGAAAGCTTCCAAATTCCTCCTCGTGGTTGCACCAGAAGGAAGGGGAAAGTGTGTGAGCCAAAGGGAAGGCTAACCTTGACTGGTCATGATGACCTTTGAATGCAACCTCTGCCTCCAAAGAACAGCAGAAAAGTGCTGTTGCTTCGGCATCAATCAGTCCTTTTAAAAAGAAAAGGAGATGCAGAAGGTCTAACAACATTTTTGACAACTCAGTGGATAATAACTATGCCTGCAAATGACAAAAGACCCAGGTTTCCCTATTGAAATGCCCAAAGGGAGGCTGCTTTGAGCACTGATCTAGATGGGAAGTGACACAGGGAGGAAGCGTGTGTCAGAAGGAGCCAGGGTCACCCTGTATGTCTCAGTTAGGCAGGGAGAAGGTATTGCAAGAAGATGTATCCCAGGAAAGGACTGGCACCTTTAGTGTGTGTGATTTCATAAGTCTTCAGTTCTATGCCAGTATGTGCTCCAACTATCCCATATACTAGGAATGGTTCCTATTTTCTAGTATCTGGCATTGAATCGCACTGCTCATTTGTCCCTTTTTTCCACTGGAGGAGCAGTTGGGAATGTCTCTCTCTCTCTCTCAGAGATTAGAGAAGAAGAGACAGAATGACAGAAAGATGGTCTGTTTTCCCAGTTTCAGGCCCTTCCTGCTAGAAGTTGCATTTGTGTGTGCACTCCAAATACACACACATGGTCACGATATTCCAACATGTTGCTTCCCTCAAACCCCCATCCATTACCTGCGTGAGTTTGAAGTGCAGCTTGCCTACAGTTCATTTCACAACAGTTCCAAGGATATGTAAAAATATATAAACCATGAATTTGTTTAAAGGGGGAAACTTTTGTGCTAGTCCACCCTGCTTCAAGAAATGCATGCAGAATAGACTATTCCAGAGTAAATTTCTATTGTGGGTGCTTGGGAAGGCTGGGGAATGTTATGGAGTCTTAGACCAAGGAGGGTCCTCAGGCAGTGAGCTTGTGTGTGAGGACTTCCAACAGATGAGAATAAGATGACAAGGATGCACAACCTTTAAGAATCCTTTAAGAATCAACAGTGTAACTCACCGGGAAATAAAGAAGTAATGACCCAAACAGGATCGTCTCCAAGAGGATGAGTCCTGATGCCCGGATGCTCTAGAACAAAAACAAGCAGGTACAAGAAATTAGACTGACATGATCATTACTTTATTTCTAGCATATCTTTCTCACAGAAACCTGAAAATAAAATGGGTAAATTGTTGGATTTAAAACTAATTAAATCATGCCCCCCTCCCTGTAGACTAGCAGGAAATCTCCCGTGGACCACTGCCAGTCCACAGATCGGTGGTTCGAAACCACTGCTCTGGGAGGTAAGGGCAGGGCTTTTTTCTGTCATAGAATGCACCGGAACAGCGTTCCGGCACCTTTTTTCGACGGATTTTTCCACGTGATTTTGAATCGCCCTATCGGACGTAGCAGGTCGGCCGCAAAATCATTAAAATAGTGCATGCGGGCTGCTTGTGTGCCCGCTTGTTGTGATGGCGCTGCTTGGCTTGTGACTGGTCATGTGGTCGCACACTGAGTGCTTACTGCGGGCAGTGACCATTATGTTTCATTACACAGTGTGTGTAGAGTGACTGGCTACGTGCAAAAGGTAAATAATTTCTTTATTTTAAAAAAAGTTGGTGAATTGAACACCTTTTTAAATTTTTAGTGTAAAAGTGTGACCCAAAATTTAAAAATGAAAAAAATTACTAATTACTTCTCAACCACCAGTCCTCCTAAAAAAGATTACCCTAAAAAAAACCCTAAATAAAAGATTAACAAGATGTGAGTTCTGGCACCTTTTTTTTTTACAAAAAAAGTACTGGGTAAAGGTATTTTTTTTCCTCCAGGATTCATTTATTTATTAAAAGCATTTATAAACCCAGCATTGTCAAAACAATGCACAATTTAAACTGAACTATAAACTAAACTGATACAATAGAATAACAATACATTAAAAACAGAAGCAAAGCATACTTAAAAACTGACTGAAACAAGAATCTAAAATCCACGGAAGATGAGGTATAACAGTACAGGTTTTACTGATCATCTAAAACTCAGTATGGACGGCATCAACCTGGTTGTAAAATTTATGTAAACTGGCATCCTCTTGCATGTCTGATGTTCTGGTGATTCACAAGTGGTCACTCCAAAGGAAGTGCACACTCACATGGGGTTCTATGTACCCCAATCATAATGTTTTACACATTGATTTGAATTTCATGTGCACAAATATTTATTAACTCCAAATAAACTGACTGGAAGGGAAGAGGTTGCAAGGGGAAAGGTGAGAGCAGCATTTAATAACTGCATTTCACTGTCGCTTCTCCAACTGCTTCTCCCACTCAGGCTGGACAGATGCACATTGGCTTTGAGATGTTGCTGTGCTCCATAGCCTAAGACCCCGGTCACAGCCATGATGCATAGTTTGCCCCTGCCCTCAGCACACTCTGCCACAGACGCCAGGAAAAGAAGACACTGCTAGTTTTAGGACAAACCACCTCCTAGTGCTCCACTATCTTCCAGGAGAAAGTTGGATGGGTCACAGTGATTGCAGCATGCCCAGGGATCAAGCGGTCACAAACGAGCTTTATTTCCTGCACCAAAACAATCACATTTCATAGCCCTGAGTGAGCCAACCTTCCATAGCAGTGGTCTAACAAAGAAGCACCTCTAAAGCACCCTGCTAATGCTTCTATTCCAGCTACAGCTGTTGACCTATTTCCAATAACCATCTGCTTCATTTTTAACAAATTAACCAATCAGCATGTTAAAATAGAGCTTAAAGGAATATTTAATTAAGATATCTATCTCTAGGCTGCTACACTGCTACTGAAAAGAGTTACCATAAATAAATGGAATGTTTGTTTTCACTCAGACAAACCATTTGCCTTCCAAACAAGTCCTGGAAGTCCTTGTTAACCTGGGCGGTTAGCAGTAGCTGATACAGTCAGCGGATCTCAGCTCAAAATCTAAGGAATTGAACCCCTAGAATATCAACCCCTCTTTTTTATATACCTGTTTGAGGAAACATGGCTGCATGCCACTTGAGGAGGGGGGCTCTGTTTCTTCTTTGAATCTCTTTAAATGAATTTAACTTGGTGCATTGGAGCACAGGTGAGTTATGACTGCTTGCATTTTGAAACATTTGTGATGTCTGGAAGCTGAACTGGAAGGCTAATTGTCCCTGGTGCTTCTTTTTCTTCACCTCTCCTCCTATATAACCTGGGCAACCAGCAGAGCATTCCTCAGTGTGTAAAAAGTGGCCAGGGGAAAACCAAACCTGAGAGGGCTGGCAGCCCCCAGGGAATCAGGCACTCTTGGTCGTCATTCTGTTATTTCTGCTGGGACTACTCAACAGCTTCTTGTGCCGGAGGAAATCAGCATTTCTTCCACCCAGGAGAATCATTAAGTATCCCTTGGCAAAATGGTGCAGCTGTCTTCGGGCAAAGCCATTTCCCACAAGCTGACAAACCAAGCTGCTTCTTTAGCCTAATGAATCTTGCCGTAAATCTCAAAATATTTCCATGTTGCCCTTTCCTACAGCTATACTTGTGCTAGCTGGAATAAATGTTTTAATCATTCATTCTTATTAGTATACATTTATTCCTCCCTTTTCCTCTTTCAAGGAACCAAAGATGGATTACACAGTCCTCCTCCTCTCCCTTTTATCCTCACAACAACCCTGTGAGGTAGGTGAGGGTAAGAGTCAGTGATTGGCCCAAAGTCACCCAGTGAGCTTCATGGCCAAACGGGGACTAGAACTCAGATCTCCTGAGTCCCAGCCCAACCCTCCATCCACTGCGCCATGCAGGTTCTTTCATGGCTGAAGCCCAAATGCTGGAGCACAATGAATTGGGATGTAATGCCCGGGGCTTTCAGCAGGTAAAGGAAACCCACTGACCTGTAGGGAACATTGTAAAGAAGAAAAGACGATTGTCCCCAAATATCAACTCACCAGAATAACATTGTGATTACCCGTACAATTAAGATATGTACAAACTCTGACATCAATCTCATAATTTGAAATGCAAAGAGCACCAGAACAGGCTGGGTGTGCAGGTTGCTAGGCCCAAACCCAGCCTCCCATGGCAGGCACTGTTTCTGCAAGGGCCTCGCACATCCCAAGATGCTGCCGTGAGTCAGCAAGGAAGGAGGAGGAACAGGTGGGACTAGCAGGGCACCTGGTTCTATGAACCCAGCCAGCAGCTGTGGTTTCCCTTTCATGACTCAGCATGAAGTAAGTTTTCAAACATGGGGAACAACTGATATAAGAGCCAGAAGAAAGCATCCTCACTTTGAAGAAAATACCATGGGTGCCATAGCTGAGTGGGGGGTGCACCCAGGATCTTGGGGTCACCAGTCCAACACCATCCCACCACACTGGTTCTCAGTTTGGTGGTTTCCTAGAGTTCATGTGTGTTCCCCCAGCAACACTACCCTCACCATTTGAAGCAGGTGAAACAGCTCTCTTAGCGCTCTGTTACCGGCAGCAAGCTCTCTGGGGGGAAATAAGCTGGGATTTGCCTTCGGTGCCTCCCTTTTTGCATTTAGCACTGCCCACCCCTGGGATGCAATAATAAAAGCAGCAAGGAGCAATAAGAACCACCTTAAAGCTTAGAGCTTAAAGGTAAACTGGAGCACTTTGAATTGTGCTTATAAAGGACAAATGGCAAGATACGGTCCTTGTAGGTCAGGGATGGGTCACTCACGAGCCTCCAAATATTTGGCTTACTTTTCCTGACACCTCTGAACAGCACAGGGGATAGGAAGGGGTGATAGGAACTGCAGACAAAACATCTGGAGGGCTCCAAGTTGGTGGTCCCTGTTGCAGATGCTGTCTACTGTCCACATAACTGAGGTTTTCAACAAGCTTTCCAAGGCAGCCTCATATAAAATGCAACCTGGAGGTCATCAGAGCATGAATCACAGCAGCCAAATGTTCTCTGTCTGGGAGGGGTCTCAGGTGGTACATCAGTCAATGCTGGTGAAAGGGGCCTTGTGCCATGGAGGCCACTTGGTCCCTGAGCAACAGAACTGAATGCCTAGCAGCAGAGTTGCCAGCCAGACTTGGATAAGAGGTCTGAGGGCCCATAAAAGCCTGCCTCAAATTAGAGACAAGCTTTTTTTATGGGCCCTGAAATATTTTCCACTAGGATCAAAATCAGCTTTCAGCAGGTTATGAAAAAGCAGACTGAGCTTACAAGGGTTTGTTTGCTTTTCACTTGTTTTTCTTCAGATCTGTGGCCGGCAGTATAAAGATCAATACGTATCTCTCAACTGTTTCAAGATAGCTTTTGAACATACCAATCCCTTAGTCTAAAAAGCAAAAATATGCAGTTATTGAACAGGAATGTTGCAGTCTTCTTTAATAACTGATACGAACAGTTAAACAATCTGGGCTATGTCATCATAGTTAAAAAAGAATGATTTTATAAAGCAGAAACCACATGCTTCAAATTTCTGTGTAATTTAGGAAACTCCCAATGAACAAAGCAACATTACTTGACCTGAAGCAACTTAATTAATATCAAAATCAGTCATAGTTAGAATAGACCCATCAATGGGAGGTACATTAGGCACGACTGATTTAACTCCCATTAATTTTGGTGCAGAGTGGGCACTTACATGCTGCCCAAAAAAGAAATGTGTCATCACACACAGAAGACAAAGATTTGCATAAAATGAGAGTGTGTTAATTTATATGTTGAGGTGTGCAAAGAGAGGAATTATGGCTATAATTTAAATAGAAATGCAGTACCTCCTGCTAGAGTGAGGAAGACTGAGTGTGAGCTGTGAACCTATTTACCTGCTGACCACAGAGGTCACTTGATGGGCAATTTCGAGGCTCTTGCTGCTTTCCCTCTTGCAGTTCTTTTTCTTTACAGTGGAGATCATGGCTACTCTATTTCACTGCGTCTACTCTAAGCATGACTAAATCTGGATCCAGCCCAATGCAGTTTGCAAGGGATGTGTTTAGGTTTCCCTGTAGCTATAAACTTTTGATGATGATTCTCCCTGGTGAACAGTGCTGCAGAAGTTGTCAAATGTGATCTGCTTCCAAATAAATACAATGCAAGCACACTCATGAGCATGCCTCCTCTCCATTGTTACAACCACAGGCGTTTCAAGCTTCAGTTAAGAAAGCAAATATTCTAAGCATGATCTCAACAGTTGCCCTGTGCTTAGATCAGATGACTGCCATCCCCCGGCAGGAAGTGCTTCTCCATTCATTTTGATGGAGAGCTCTGGTCTACTCATTCCTTTGCACATGAAGTCTGGCTGGCTCCTCTGGATATATGCAGGGTATTAATATGCTGAACAGAATCACATTGTCTGTATGGTTCATAATGCCTAGCAGGCCTTAAGTTGAATAACCTTCTTGGTAACTAGCAATATTTCTTTCTTTTTTTCCAAGGTCAGTGTTAAACGATTTCAAGAAAGAAGCCATCAGCCGCAACCCACTGGGAATGTCTCTTGAGCAGCCCCCACGGAAATGAATACTTGCCCAAGTGGAGAGGGCTGGATTGTACCTACTCCCTTTGGATACTAGCTGGAGAACAGGAAGTAAACTTTTTGCATCAGGGAAATCATGACAGTCTTTAGATGGCTGCTTTGCATATAGACAAACACAAACAAAGCTAAAGGGAAGGATATATATCCTTGAAAGGTATTGCATTTCAAACCTCCATAGCCTTAGGCTATTCAAGTAAACTACACGTTTAATTAGCATTGCATGTTTTTGTTTCAAAACACAGATGTAAGGAGGGATTTGAGCTTTCAAAATGCATGCAATGAAAAACCAACTTCTCTCTCTCTCTCTCTCTTTGACAAATAGACAGAATTATTCTGACAGGGCCCGTCCTTTCACCCTGGGGCCCTTTAGCAATGCTAGGACTTTGCTATTCTGTGATCTGATGCAGTGCAAGTAAAACTCAGTGGTGCAGCGAGCTAATTTTAGACTTTGCACCTAATGGTAGCATTAGGACCCACTGTTAGAATGCCACATGTATTCAGTCATGAAGCACACAACTAGCACTGCTCTCTTCTGCCCTCCAACTGGAATTCTGTGCTTTACAACTGCTTCTAAAATCCTGATATGTTAGAGCAAAATAATAGTGTTAAATAAAAATTACTCTCTTTGAATTATTCAGAGTATGTGCAGTTTTGTATTTTAGACTCATGCAAAACTTAGCATCATCGCAACTACAGGAATAAAATTGAGTTTGTTTTTGTTTCTCTCACTGGACAAAAGTACATTCTGCTCTAGGAAAAGACAGCATCTATTTTAAAGTAAAGGTTATTCAACGTTGCATCTGTAATCATGTATGTTCCTGCCTGATGGCCCCTTGCCTGTTACGTGTCTTTAAAAGTAAGAAGAAGGGATGCTGCAAGAAGCAGCATCAGGTCCAACAGGCTCATGCTGGCTCAGGTGCTGGTAGCCATTGCCCCATCACTTCTGCTTCCCAGCTGGTTATTTGAGGTAGGATGGGCTACGGGATCCTGGACATCAGCCCCACATCCAACCCCAAATCTGGGTCCACAGATTAACAGAGCTCTATATTCCCCATAACAATCCCATGATTGCCTATCTTCGTGGGTAGATTCAATTCAATGCCTAGAAAGTATACTTAGGATATGAGCTTTCAGAGAGCAAAGTTCTCCCTATTAGGGCCATTTTACCATCATTAATCATGTCTTGAAGTAATTTCTCTCCCAACTTAGGAAATGACACATTAAAGGACTCAAAGATAGCTCAAAGATACAAGAATACCTTTAAATGCCAGATGGAGATATCTTTACTGAACTTGGTCCTTTCCCTTGTTGAGTGCTCCATTCATTCCACCAGCAGAAACTGGTCCTTCTTTGCTTTAAAGTGTTATTTCTCTAACAGCAAAATTGCACTTTAGTGTAAAGTTTTTTAAAAAATGATGTTCTTACATTTCAACAGTGTTTACACTTTAACACTGTGTTGCTTAAGTCTGTGTTCTTGGACTGCTTATTTCCCACTACAGGGGAAGGGGCCCTATGTCACAGGCCACACCAATGGCAACAGAACGGGAAAAATACAGTAAGTATAAATTGAACAAACCCACAATTTGCTACCCATTTATGACACCTGAAATCTGCTTCTTTGAAGTGGATGCTCCTCTCTGGCTAACAGAAGGCTGGATTTGACCATGCCCATTTCACTGCGTATGCTGTCTAAGGACGTTATTCCAGATATATTCACATACATATTCCTGGATCAAAATTAGAGGCAACCATATGTTCAGTGAAATAAAGGCATTCTGCTTTTGATTTCCATTTAGTTCTCAAAAGTTAATTTGAATTCATGATGTATGATTCCATAGTGGTATCAGTTATTTAAGACAGCCATTAAAAACCTATAATATTACCATAATGAAATAAAACTGTAGAGAATGAGGTCTTCAGATAAGCTGCCATCGGGCCATTGAAGGTTTAGATGCCTTTTCTGAGTCATGGGATTATTGAGACTTTCGCAGAGGCAACAGCTCACTTGCAGGCATCACAATAGTAGCGTGCGCGCACACACACACACAAAGGATTTTGCACAAAAAGTGAGGGAAGGGGATGGAGCAGGGAAAGCAAAATGGTTGCTGTTGGTTCTGAGGCTTTCTGCCAAGCATAGAATTGAGAGAACCAGCACAAAGTGATCCAAGGCAGAATCCATGAGGTTGGTTCGGCTGACTGTGCAGTGATTGCTTAGGAAAGTGAAATAGTAGAAAGGTCTCCCTATTTCTAGAAAGAGGTGATTGCAACTCCCAATTCAAGCACTGGCCTTCAACTATTTTATGTGCACTTGATTTCATGGACTATGATGAGTAAACTGAAAGGTTATTTTTAAGGCTGATTCATTCTGCCCACTGCTATCAAGATTTATCATTATCATCATCATCATCAAAATGTAACCCAGTACAACAGCAAATTATCATTTAGGGCAGGCGTATTCAGCCTCTTTGAGCCCAAGAAAACATTCTCAAGAGCCATATTTTAGGGGTTGCTTGAGTCAAAGGTAAAAGCCCAGGGCCAAAATACCAGCATCTCATAGCTGAAAGCTTTTACTGTCATTAACTAAGCCTTAGGACAGACATTAAACTAACAGCAACACAGAGCTCACAACCCAAAATTAAACCATGCAGTACTGCAGGGTTCACATGTAAGGACAGCCCATAATTCAGAAACAATCCATGATTCCAGAACAACCAGTTGTCAACCCACACTCTGGGGTGGTCATGATGTGTAACCCAGGCCAGTAGGCCATCAGCACTTAAATATCTAACATTTACTCTGAGAGCAGCTTCTCCTACTCTGAGTGAAACATTCCAGTGGACAACCAGTCGCAGTTTGGGGGAAAGCAGGGACCCTTTCCCCATTTGAATCTTCTGCACTCCGTACAGGAAGGCAACAGTGCTGAGTGCACAGTCCAGGCTAGTCTTGTTTTGCTCCCTCGCTGCCAGATAATCCAGCAGGGATCAGCGCAAGCTACAGCAACCTCCCTCCCCATCTCACCAAACTGTGGAGATCAGAAGCCTTAAAATCCCACAGATCAGGGTCATCAAAACCTGCCAAACATGGCCCTTGCATCTGCCACTAGCTTGGCACTCTGAAAATCTGGGCATCTGTTCAAACCATTACATTAGGACTCTGGTAATCAACTGTAATCTTTCCCCAAGTGGTGCATCTTGATCGCTCCCTTGTATACAAAGGTGCCTGTGGTCCACAAAGCAGGCAGAAAAAGAAGTGCAGGAAATGCTCCTTCGTTTACCTTTGCTTTGCGAAATCGGTAGACTACGAGCATGCTGATGAAGTCCAAGAGCATACAGAGAGTTTGGAAGGAGATGATGGCAAGCCGCAAATACTTGTCCTCCTGTGCATAGCAGGGCGCATCATCTGTGCAGTCAGAACATCCTTCCCTGCAGGGCAAGCAGGCGTAGACTTCCTCAGACTGCTCGCCTCCAGAAAAATGGTTCTCTGCATCCTTTTCTGAAAGTATCAAATACAGAGAAAGATAATCATAAAGCTCAAGCAGTGAGGAAGGGGAGCAAACAGCTATTCTGCTTCTCAGGGATCACAAACCACCCTCCCATGTATTTATTTAAGTTCAATTTTTATTCATTTAGTCTGCCTTGAAAGGCAGAACCCTTGCAAAGTGGAGTGCAAGAACAAAACAAAACAAAACAAAAAAAATGCAAATTTAAATAATAGCCAACATAATATTAAATCATACATAAAACTACAGAATGCATAATTTTCCAGAACGGTATGTAGCTGTGGGGTACAGATGTCATTTGGGAAGGAATGTGCTAGAACAGTGCTGGAAAACTTCTGAGTTCAGTAAAATTTCAACATATTCTGGACTTCACAGCTGAAAGTTGGTTGAGTTGCTTGTTTTTGGTTTCCATGAACCTGCTTGAAATATTTGCCGAAATTCGAAGTATATCCCGAGCTCAATTAGTGCAAATTGTGTAAAATACACAAATTGGGGCTAATAAAAGTTGTTGCAGCATTTAATGTGAGACATATGGAAACATCCTTCTCTTACTGAATATACAAACATTCCACCTTGGCCACCTCAACTTTTCTGTTGGTTAATTTCAGATTTGTGCAAACTGTGGGCTCTACTCCATTGCACAAATTTGCATAATTGATGTAAACTGTCAGACAGAGGTCCAGACTTAGTGCAAATTTCCCCAGCTTTAAAAAGTATCATGCAAATTGTGGCCTGTTTTATAAACCGAAGTCCCCTTGCTGTCTCAACTCACATCAGGTCAAGCCCGCCCAGCGCGAGGATTGACGGACTGCAAATCGGCAGGTTGAGTTGAGAAAACTTTACGCCTTATCGCTTGAGCCAGTGGGCCATCAGGGAAGGCCTGGAGCAGTCATTCAAGGCCCCACTCAAGAGGATGGGCAGTGGTGGAGTCCAAGTGCAGTTAGGTAAGCTTTTCGGATGTTACAGTAAGTCATGAAATACATATTGCCATCTAAAGGGGGTGTGCCCTTTCAGAATATGAAGTCTGGAGTCTCTGGCTTTAAAATTCCTTCATTCCTTCTTGATACCAACCCATTTTTCAAATTGGACAAGGAACGGTGATTAAAGATAACTCTGACACATCACTCAAAAAGCTCTGCTAATTATCTCCACCTTGGATTACTGTACTAGATGAATGGCTGTGAACTGGAGGAACTGACTGCATCCCAAAGCATGACATGACATGCTGGATTTCTGATGACCCATCCACACATGCAAATTACCACCTGGTGTTATGGTTATGGATACCTGAAGTTTTTTGTATGGACCACATTTTGAAAGGTGCTGATTCACATTTCTTGGAAATACAGGGAATGGAATACAGTTTTTCATACATAAATACAGATAGAAATGTATGCTTTACAATAAAATAGTACAGAAGTGTTTGTTTTGTGGGAAAACACATATTGAGAGCCTGTGTAGTGTTTAAAATGTTGGAACGGGAATGCAGGAAAACCAGGTTCTAGTTCCCACTTGGCCATGAAGCTCACTGGGTGATTTTAGGCAGTCACACACTCTCAACTCAACCTACCTCACAGGGTTGTTGTTGAGAGACTAGAATGGAAATATTTTAAGCTGCCTTGGAATATAAATGCAATGTAATAATAATAGTATCTGTGTGTGTGTGTTTTAATATTGGAGGTTGATATGGGAAAAGGATGGAACAGATTTATGTATAAATCCGATACAGGTAGGAATTAAACTGATCCATTTTTATCCGCAGTCGAGTGACAAACATGCATGTCTGAACTGGTCCTCAGCCTGGGGAGGGGAAGGGCACATTATGCACCAGCCCAGACACTGAATTTGTTTCACATTTTATAGATCTAATTTGAACCAACAGTTGTTTTAGTTCAGACACTTAGACCTGTTCAATAATTTATTGAGATCAAAAGGTTGTACAGGTTAATAGACCTGGTTTATCCTGTTAAATGACCTCTTGGCCTCTTTAATGCCTTGGTTCAGAGGTGAGAAAAAAATTTGGGGTTTTTTCCCATCAACGGTTGCATTCCATTGGAGGTAATGCCTAGATCCAACTGGGATCAGGGCCCTGTATCTAATCTAGAGTAAAAAAGATTAAAAGATACCAGGGTTAAATACACACATAAAGTAATACTTGTTGTGGCATAATTTATAAACAGAAGTCCAGAACAGTGCAGATCCTTTTTCTTTCATGAAACATGCTGGTGGAAAAAGCAAATTCATGCCCCTTTCCTGCCTTATCTCATTATGCTGCATTATTTCAAGCATATTTCCCATGCGTACATCACTTCTGGTATTTAGGCTGGCTGCTTATGAATTGCAAAGAGAGGGGACAAAAAAAGACAGTACTGTCTGCATACGATTCACATATGCTATTTTATATGTACGTTTAGAAATTATTATAAGCTAACAGATATAGAGTGCATCACATGAGCATGCAAAAGACCCCACACAGATGACCTCTGTGGCTGCCGGTTCAGCTGCTGCCCAGGGTCCAACTGTTCATAGGCAACCATTCTTAAGGAAGTGTCTAAATCTTTAAACTGGAGGCAACTCTTAAAACAGAAGATAGTCTTCTGGAAGCCTTCCACATAAGAGCACTGTCCTCTGTGGAAAAGAAGCCACCTTTTCTGGGAGAAAATTTCTTGTAGCAACAAACTGCAACAAGGTAAGGTAAAAGGGTTGTTTTTGCAACACCAACTATACCCTCTTTATAGGGGAGCAGGTCAGAGAGAGCATAAATACATTAACTGTGACCTCAAGATCAGGCATAAAATCCCTGCTCTGCTGTAAAGAATGCAGAGGGAGGTTTGGATAAATTACAGTTCCTTATCCAAACAAGTGAGAACTGATCTGAAATATTTAGTCAGGGTCCAGTACTTAGAATTGGATGCATGTGAGAATGAAAACTCCCACAATAACCTTCTCAGGAGAGGATGATTGCACTGATGATACCAAAGAAGTCTAGGATATATATTAATGGCCTGCCTTTTTCCCTTTCGAGGAACGCAAAGCAGCTTTCCTCTTTTTCCTCTTCTACTCAATCTTATCCTCATAACAACAACACCGTGAGGTGAAGCTGAGAATCTGTGACTGGCCCAAAATTACTCGGTGAGCTTCCCGGCTGAGTAGGATCTAGTACCCAAATCGGATGAGTCCCACTGCTGCTTTCCAAACCATTACACCACACTGTCTCTCAGAGATACTGATGAGAGTTGCTAATACTTTGATAGTGAAACTTTGATTCTTCTTGCCCATTCTCAGTTTAAACCAAAGTTTTGTAAATAAGCCTCACTAAAGCAGTACTGCAATGACTGTTACTAAGGGAAGCTTCTGTGCATGTGCAGACTCCAGCCCAGGTTGGGTGTATCTACCTAGACTGGCCAGCAGCAGGACGGAGTAACATGTTCACTGGCCCTTATGAATCTGGTCTGCCATTTCTCGGTAGTCTTAATGATGCAGCTTTCATTCCTGACTCCTCCACTCTTCCACAACCTGGTGCCTCCAGAAGTTTTGAACCACAACTTCAGTCAGCCTGTGCCAGCACGGCCAATAGTTGGGGAGCCTGGGAGTTGTAGTGCAGAACATCTGGAGGGTACTGGATTGCCTGCCTTCCAGCCTGGACAGGGGACCCTCTGCAGGCTTTGACCTGGAGCAGGCCATTTTTGCAACCCCCTGCTGGGATCAGTTCTCCTACAGAGCCTTTTCACGGGCGCTTCCGGAGAGTAAACGGTACTGTCTCTGCATCGGGAGCAGAACCGCCAAGAGAATCCCATCTGCCCTGCTGTCTCAGCAACCCACTTTGCCCCGCAGTTCTGCCTCGACCTACAACTGTGCCAGCCTCACAGAAAGCAGAAGTCTGGCAAAATTTTTAAGTGGCAGAAGCATCTGGCCGGCAAAATCTTGATTATTAATGATGGTGAGCAAGCAAGAACACAGCTTGACTTTCAGATTCCTTGCTGGGTTTGCAGAGCTGGCAGCTAGATAAACAATCTTTTTTAAAACTAACGTGCTGAGGAAATTTCACAGAGCATCAGAGGACTGCAAAAACAAATCTCCATGATTTCAGCCTGGCTTAAAACTGCTTTCTAAAGAAGAAATCTAAAACGTGTATGAGTGTATATATATTTACACACTTTGGCCACTTTACGTACTTTTACCACTTAACTACCTGGGGAACAACATCTAACTGTAATGCAACAAATCCTGTCCAAATAGCAAATAGTCACAGTTAAACATGACCAACTAAGTCTTTCTGCCAAAACATGTTAGTAACAAATGGTCTGACAGTTGCGTGGGAGCTCACTGCTTATCAGACGTAATATTTCTCCTCCTCCTTTGAACCCACAGTTTCTTCTTTTTGTTTTTGTTCACCATTATATTCAATTGCTGTCGGGGCATTTTTGGCTCTTAGTGCTTCCATCCAGATCCTTCCCTCTCCTTGTCATGCTTGAACAAAATAGGTGAACAACCAATGATACTTCTAGTCATGCTGCTTGTTTTACACTAATAACAACCTCCAACAGCTCCTTATCATGCATTTATTTCAGGGATAACATGTCTTCTTGATTACCTGCAGCAAACAGGCCTTATTCTTGTTTTGCATTGCAGACATAAAGGGATACATTTTGTATTTTGAATCAACCAATATGTAGGCAATGCAATGCACATAATCCAGTAATCCTAACAAGCAAGCAAAGAGACCGGCCTGTTTATGATTCTTTTTATAAAGACCTATTTTTAAAAAAATTAAAACTTTTTAAAATCATGGATTAAAATTTAAAATGTTAGATGTTTCAGTATAAAACACCAGCTTTAGGCCCAAAGAGGAGTATGTTAAAAACTGAGCCGGGACCAACCGTAACAGTGGCCAAATGGTGGCATGGAGATAAACAGTCCACACGTGTATCCCATAGCCAGTGAAGCTGCACTAATACAATCATGACTTGTTTCATCTCATCTTTTACATGGATATCAGTTACAGCTGATCAGTGAACCTTCCCTCTTTAATCCTTCTCCTTTGGAAGCTTCTTTCAAGCACTAGCACAGAGTCACTGCAGCAAGTCCACCAGCATGTTCACCCCTGTTTGAAGGGACCAAGCACATGGTTCACTAGGTAGCAAACCAGCCACATGTTCCTAACATCATTTTAGGAGAGATTTTGCTAGCTCGGCTCTCGGCTGCTGGTTTGCTGGAAACCTGCACTAATATTTTGAATTAGCCAACCTGAAGTACACAAAACAAATGTGTACAGCCATGCTAGAGAATTCATTGGCCTGATCTGCACATACTGCTAACCTATAGCATTAATTATGGATATCTAAAGGAACGCCTGCGCCCATATGTGCCCTCCCGCCCCTTGAGATGAGCCATGGATGCCCTTCTCCGGGAACCCTCTGTGAATATCAGGAGGGTGAGTACCCAGAGGAGGGCCTTCTCTGCGGTGGCGCCCCATCCATGGAATGTGCTCCCCAGAGAGGTCCGCCTGGCGCTGTCATTATTTGTTTTTCGGCGCCAGGCTAAGACCTTTTTATTTAAAACTTATTTTAATTGCTAAATTATTGTATTTATTAGGATTTTAAATTAGCCGAGAATTCACCGGGGGTTTTAATTTTTTTTTCTTTTAAATTGTTATATTGTTATTGTTTATGTATGTTTTTTTTTTTTTGTATTTTTGTGAGCCGCCCCGAGGCTTTGTTGCGATGGGGGCAGCACAGAAATGTTTTAAATAAATAAATAAAATAAATTATGGATTGCCTTGATGTGTGAATGCAGTTGTGCTCACAAACCATGAATTGTTAATCATAAACAACCCAGAAAGAGAACACTTGGTTTGTTGTTGGGTTGTGAACTCTGGGCTGTTGAAACCAGGGGGTGTCATTATTTCCAATCCAGAACCATGGGTTGTTTCCCCAGACAGCAGAGGAGATAAGCAAGAGCAGTAAAGCAAACAAATGAACCCCCAACCACTTTACATGCCAGTACCACAGCCCTCCAATGATATTTGGGCTACAGGGAGGGAGAAGGCAAAGGTCAAGGGAAATAGACCACACAGAGACTGAAAAAACAAACCACAGTTTCCTCTATTGTCTACCAGTCTAGTGACGGGTAGTGCAACATACCATGATTAAATTAACCATGTGTAGGGTGGATTTTATTTAAATCCCTAGTAGGTAAGATTAGATTTAAACCATGGTTCTCTACATAATTCGCATGCATGCCTACCTTACCCATAGGCAGAGGAATTTCATTAAAATATTCCCAAACTGGCCTGCCATTTTATGTTTTTTTCCTCCAGGGAAAGAATAATATGATAAACCTCAGGCTATACACAAAAAGATCCAAAGACTTGAGGACTATGTTGCTCAGAACATTTCATTTTCATTTTTACTGCTTGCCTCTCCCTCCTCACACTTAGCTTCTTGTGCAGATCTATTCCATTCCCACCCATCTTCTTCTATTCATTGAATTTTTTGAAACTTAGTACTTCCAAGGTGTGGTTTATTCTGTGTACATAGATTTGCAAAGGAACAGCAGGATTAAGGTCTTTTATTCAACTCTGTATGTTTATTTTGCAACATTTTTGCTGTGAAGCAGCATGTGATCTCTGCAGACACAAATTCACAGTTCTGAGAACTGTAAAACAAAGCATCTGTGATAATATCTTCTAGACAGGAAAATTGCCCAATAATCTTAAAGAAACCTCTAGAAGAGCATGACATTGTGAGTGGATTAATGGAATTCATTTACCAAAACATTTGAACATTTCATGAATATACAGCCTCATGGTACATAATTAAAAACTAATCCTTATTTCATGATGACTTTGGACTATAATGCATCTTAAATAGAAAGCTTTCTATTTAACTTTCTTTAGACAGATTTTTTTCTCAAAAAGCATTTTATATTTTTTAAAAAATCTAATTTAAATCAAAAAATCTATTTTTTAATTCTGATTTTTATTATTTTATTTTTAAAAAGATCATTGATTTTTATCCACCTTGACCATGGGTTTCTGTTACATGTGAACTAGGCCTGTGTGAGAGAAAAGGCCAAAATGAAAGATAGATTACCTTACTTTTCCACTATTAATAGTTCATATTAGGTCTGTAAACATGACTATTTATGTGAGTAATTGCTGATTTAATCCAAAATATGGAAGAGGAGAAGAATTTGCAGGAGAGTGAGAGGGACAGATGCTTAACAAGTATACATGTAAGTTGCAACCTATGCATGTTTAGACAAAAAAAATGGCCATGTTTCTACCTAAACATGCATAGCCTTGCATCTTTACAGTGCAAGTGAAAGTAGCTGCCTGTAATTCTTCAGACCTAGAGGATTACTGGCATCCTATTAAGGGTGGGAAAAGTGAAGGGGTGAAGGTCACCTCCGTTCTCCTCTCATCCTGTAAAAGACTCAGACAGCCAATTTTAGCTAAGCCTTTTTACACGGAGTGCAAGGATGGCAGGCTGAAGTACCATCAGGATACTGCTTATCTCCACTCCTTCCTGCACCCTAGAAAGCCCACAAACCCACAGCTCCATAGTAATGCCTTTAACATCAGACCCACAGGCACCGAGGTTCCTTGCATGCTGGTTGTGAAGGCAGAAGGAAGAGTCTGGGACTTCGACTTCTCCTATAGCCATCTCAACTCTGCCTGCTCCCTTACTGTCTTATCCTGAGCACAGAAGGTGACTGGCTGCTCAAAGTAAACTCATTCTTGATTTGATAAGGGAGAATAAGTAAACTTCCTCTTATACGAAATGATGCAAGACAGTGAGGCTTTACACTCTTGAAAGCAGAGTGTAAAGCTTCAGGTTTTGGCTTCTGCAGAATAACAGAAATTCACCAAGTGTCTTACACAGTTGCATGATATAAGCGACAATTTCAAAGAAAAATGGGTAAGACTAATATGCATTCATAAATAAAGAATAGAACAAGTTTCAGCTCTAATATTAGCATCAAAAACATTCCTGCTGCCCAGCAGTAAAGCAATTTTTAAAAACAAGACAGATTAATATTTATTTACAAATCAAATGCATTTAAAAGTAGATGTGTTTTACAGGATTCTCCAGAGCATCACAGATGACAAACCACAGGCCTAAAATTCCTTAAGTGTTTATATAATCCCTGAATTGCAGACCACTGGGAATATACCGTATAACCCTGACAAGGATAAAAAGGAATTCTGCATTATTAACATGCTCTCTCTTTCAAACTCAAGCAAAGGCACTTACTGTGAAAGCTGTTCACTGAAAATATTTTGGGATTATAGAATCCAGCCTTACAAATGCATGTGTAGGCTCCAAGCACAAATCCAAGGCCTTTAATTGGCATACACTGCAAGAAAAAAAGAAGAAAGAAAGAAGATGAAAGAAGTGTCTGGTTCTCCTTTATGGAGACATTGTACATCTTCATCGGCAGACTGACAGTGAAGTGGTACCACAGTCTTCTTAACAGGCAGGTAAAACATACATACTAAATCAACACTGCTGTTGTCAATAAATCAGAAGAATATGACTGCTGCAAACAAGAGTCCTGCATCCGAACTGTTTTCTGTTGATATGTTATAGCAATGATGTACATTTTTTGCCTGTCTTGACAAAATGTAAAGCATTCCAACTTTTAGATGTCAGATTGGACAGAGAGAGAATCCTCCCTGCATGAATGCTTTAGAGAACAAAGTGGTACAGGGTTTCACTGCATTTGGAAAAAATTAACTCTCAAAAACTTTGTTGGGTGATGCATAAAGAAAATGTCTTAGGGTGAAAAAGAAAAGGGGCAGATGGACACATCCCTGAGGGTTAGTTCTCCTGCATTAGCAGGTCATCCCACAGTGCTGGGTATGCCTTTTATCAGCGGGGAGGTTCTGTATATTTAACATATAGCTATATCCAGTTGTGAAGCCAGCACCACCTGTAGATAATGAGCACTAACCTACTCAGCCCCAGTGCCCATGAGTAGTGCCCATACTTACCAGGGACTATTTCTTTATATCTGCTCTTTGTTTTATTAGCATGTCTATCCATCAAGACAGACAGAATGGATCAAGTTCTGAAATCTTGCCCTGAAAGTCTGAGAGCAAAAGTTGTAAATAACTGCAAATCACATGAGTTTTATCAACTTGTCAATAGCTATGCATATGAACTGCTGTGAAAAAGGCACATTCCATGTTAAGAATGGTTAGAAAATGAGCTGAGAATAAACCTGCCAGTATCACACTCCTCTTGTACAAGGCTGTGGTGCTACCACACTTGGAATACCACGTACAGTTCTGGTACAGTTTCTTAAAAAGATATTACTGAGTTGGGAAAAGTGCAGAAAAAGGCAACGAAGATCACAAGGGGCTGGAGTAACTCCCCTATCGGGAAAGGTTATAACATCTGGGGATGTTTAGCTTATAAAAGAGGAAAACATGAAATTGTATCATGTAGAAAAGTGGATAGGGAGGCACTTTTCTCTGGCTCTCACAATACTAGATGAGAGTGCAGTTATTCCTTCAAGCGGATTGATGGAAGATTCAGCACAAATAATTTCACACAATACATGGTTAAACTATGGAACTCACTTCCACAAGATGTAGTGAAGGCCAGGAATTTGAATAGTTTTTAAAGAGGATTGGACTAATTCATGGAATTTGGAAGAGAAGGCCATCACTGGCCATTGGTCCTAAGGGTGATGCGCTCCCTCCATTCTCAGAGCATGCCTACATACACCAATTGTAGGGGAACATGGGTGGAATGGTGCTGCTTACCAGTTTCCTGGGAGAAGCTGGCTGGCCACTGTGTATACAGAATGCTGGACTAGATAGGCCTGTGGTCTGATCCTGCATGGATGGACTTTATGTCCATATGTTCTTTATGTGGTCCTATAATTCTTCCAAAAAATGACAGTGGGGTAAAAATTATTGAATCTAATTGCTATTTGAAGATTATTCTCAGGAACTCCTTAGAATATTGCTAGGTATTGTTTCCGTACTGGTAGGATATCTGTACAACACATCTGTACCTTGGATGGCTGAACTGGCAATTTTTACAATTGCTGAGATTCTCTAAATACCAGGTTGAAGCTTGTCTCCCCTGGCCTGATTTCTGTGCCTGACTGCATGTTCTCATTATGCTCAAATGGGAACAGTGTTTATTTTGAGCAGGAAAAATGCACAGTTTTTTAAAGACCACAAGCAAATGTACACTTCTCCTGCACAGAGTAAGACATGGAAATGCATATTTGGGGAGAGGGGACTACACGATTAAAATGCACATTTTTCAGATAGGAGCACAGTTTTGAGAAAGTGCAGGTTTACCTGGAAAGAGATGCTCTTGCTTTTGTTCAGAAATGAGGTTGTGAATGGAAGATGTGTGTAGGATTTGTGCACCTTAGCATTCTTCATCATGGCCTCTGTGCATCACACATTATGGGTGCTGCGCCTGCGCACCTGTGCATTATCATAATTTATTCCTACAGCTGAAAATTCCTATAGATTTTTTCAAAAGGTAAGAGGACTACAGAGAACATGTCAATTACAGTAATGGATTAATACTATGGAAGGGTTCTGTTTACTTCAAATCCATTCTGGTACCCATAATCAGTGTCTCCCATTTTACACTATACCAAGAACTTCCAGTAGCATTCCTAATCTCAGTTATGCATGCTTATTTCTAGGTCAATGCACAGTTATGCCTGGAATCCCTGGTTTCACTCCAGGGGCACAGAATATGATGCTGCGCTTCTGCAGCACTTTACAGCACTGGACAAGAATATTCTTGAGAGGGAAAGAGAGCAAGCAAGAAAGGTTTGCCAGGTGTATTCAAAGCAATATTGTGCAGTCACATCTAGAGAAGGGAAACAAATGTGCATAAAAGGGACTTGCTATACAATATGGAACTGTAGAAGGATGAATTGTATACTACAGTCCTATATAACACAGAGATCAAAGTGAAAAACACATCATGGAGATGAGGAACAAGGAATGCCTTTCCATCTGAGGACTGAATTCCATTTCAGAGCTTTTCAGGGCTGCATTCCAGAAATGGGCAGGGCCAAAATACCAGCCTACTGTAGTTTAAAGGTCTTGCTGCCAATAACTAAAGTTTAGGAGAGGCATTAAAATCTTTCAGAATGGAGTAAAAACTAAAAAGTGGGGAAACCACCAAACTTTCAGAGGAGAGGAAAAGGCAGTGGGCTCAGAAAGGTGTGTGGTCTTCTGTGGAACTCCAGAGGACCAGATTTCTCCCTTGGGTTTGAGATCACTCATACCTACATTACCATGAACTAAGGAGGCATGGGCTAGGAGACTAATATAACACAGTTCTATTCCTTGGAAAGAAAGCAAATTTTCCTTTGTTATTACTTAGAAACAGTACGATGTTGGCTCATAAAGGTTGTTCTGGGATTCAGCTTTTTGCATTGAACCATTAATAATAACATTATGCTACTAACCGCTGGAAGCTATAGCTGCTTTGCTTCCTTAAAGTGCACACGTATGAATAAATAGATGGAGTAAGCTGTATGTATGCAAACTCAAATCAACACACAGTGTACAATTTGAGGGTACCTTGTGGTTTACTACAATGCGCCCTTGACTCAGGTTGCCCAACCTTAACCTCCCCACACAAGGACATACAAGCAAAGAAGAATACAAAAACACTTTTCATGGTTCACCTTGGCTAACTTTAATCAAAGTGACAGACTGCCAGAGAGAGAGAAAGAGAAAATGAATAATCAAAGTCTAAGAAGACTAAACAGATAGATAGAAAGAATGAAATAAATTGTCTTTCAGATTACACATTCACATTTCAGACATGATTCTGAAGGAAACAAATTCTCAACTCACAGCTCCATGATTAGTGAATAAATTATTTTGTGCAAGAAGTTTAGCAATGCTGTTTACATATCCTGTTTTTCAAAAATTGCCATTGCCCATTAACTTCTGAGTGATTCTTCTAATAACACAGCATCTTTAATTTAAAGCAGTTTTCAGAAGATGAGAAGCATCTGCTCTAATATCTGATAGGGCCCATTCATACCAGCTGTTGTGCTCAGTAGTTTTCAGGCATATATTCCAGTTTCTCACACACTAGTTTCTTCATCCCTGGATAGAGTAAGAACTGTCCTTGGGCAACTGCTCTTCAGCAAACTCTAGAGCAGAAGTGGCCAAACTGAGGCTTGGGAGCTGCATGTAAGCTGCTTGAGTTTATTTTGCATCTTGCTGCTGGGCACCTACTTTCCACTTGCTGCCCACAGACACTGCTCACAGGTGCCTACAGCTCTCAAACATCTGACATTTACCATATGTGGCTCTTCCACTGAGCAAGAGTATAAACCTGAGCCAGAGACCACATCCAGCTCTTCTGGGTCCTAATCTGGCCTTCCAGGGTTGCACAGATGCCCACACTATGATCTCCCCATGGTCCTGCGAGCCTTGCTCCTCTGGAAATCAGGACATGTACTGGCTGTTTGTGACCCAGATTCCCATTATTATCCCAGACTGCTGAGTGTACTACTGCCTTCTAGGTCATCTCTGGGCTCAGCTACCACAGAATAGGGCAAGTGATGTCAAAAGTCATGAAATAACAGTGGGTCAGGCAGAGTCCAAATGTATACAAAATAAGAGGTGCATGACTCAGTCGTAACAGCAGTCCCTGCAAAAATGTTTCTAGCTATGCTGTCTTAATTTACCATGTATAATGGGAAAGAAACTCAGAGTCCCAACTAAGTCAAGACCAAACAGAATCAAATTTCCAGAGGAATAGCTGTGCTAGCTTGTTGCAACAAAATCAGCAAAGACTCTTGTGCCGTCTCAGTTCAGCAGTTCCAGAGTGCAGCCTCTCTTTGGGGCCTTTTTGCTGACTCTGGCTTTGAAATCAGAATCTGCATGTTTTAATTTCTGAATCCTGTTGATTTTAATATCAGATCTGTGCTTATTTATTCTCATCTTACACTCTTATTGGATCTAGCACCAGTGCTTTTTTTGTAAAAAAAATAAAAATAAAAACTCACGTCGCCGCCAGCAGTAAGCACTCAGCGCGCGACCACATGCACCAATCCCAAGCCGAGCAGCGCCCTCACTATCTCACAATCAGCACGGACACAAAAACAGTCCACAGACACTATGTTAATGATGTTTGCTGCTGACCTGCTACTCCAACAGGCGATTCAAAATCACTTCATAAAATCCATTGGAAAAAAAGGTGCCAGAACGCTGTTCCGGTGCGTTCTATGACAAAAAAGCCCTGTCTAGCACCATCAGCTATAGCATCAAGGGCTCACGGGCCTGATCGTCTTCTGAAGCATGAGTGGCCCTCCAGATGCTTTGACCTACAGTTCTTGTGGTCCCTCAC